AAACCATCATATAAAATTACGTAGAGACAAAAACAGTCAATAATTATTGGCACTGTTATTCCGTTAATTTTACAATCTATATTCGGATAACTTATCATGTGAATAACTTATTCTAATAAATTATTCTATAAATAGATCTATAGATCTATAATAACTAATTATTTGAATAACGAATGATCATTATTCAAATAATTAGTTATTATTATATTTTTATATATTATATTTTATATTAATTAGTTATTATTATATTATGATTAGTATTCGACTCTAAAAAGAATTCATTCTAGTAAATATCTTAGATAAATATTTATTAAAGAGAGAGAGAGAGAGAGAGAGAGAGAGAGAGAGAGACAATTGGAATAATGTTTAACTCTGTACAAACGACATTAAGATAAAACACACCAAAATCGCATAATAGTCGTCACGTTAACGTCTCAGTTAGTCGTCAACGTCTCGAGATTTTTTGCCGGCCGTTATGCTTCTTTCGTGAAAATCCGATTAATTCGGGCGGTGACCCGTTAGATTCTACAGTAATCTTTCCGAAGACCTTGTTACGCGATAGGTGGATGAACGTGAAGATGATTTGCATTATCTCGTGCCGTGCCACCGAATTGCGTGTCAAAAAATCGCAGCCATGTTTCACGCAGCATGTTCGCCGCATGAAAGTAAGATTCATCGTGTTGCGAAACGACTCTGCGAAGTCGCGCTCAGCCGGGAGAACCGCGGGTTTCTTCTTCTATTGAAATGAATTTCACGTTGCATGTGTGCACAGAGGCCTGCGCGTTCATTCCGCGTCGTTTTTCAATTAACACCGCGGCAGATCTCGCTGCGTAATGGCAAGTTGGAACACCGATATCTTGTGATACGAACTCTCGTTGCACAATGAACGCGGACAGGCGCGTGGATTTTCGTGCCGATAAGTACCGGTGTTACCTGGAAACTCGCGACCGGCTCGTAATTGCCGCTCGTACTGGAAAAGTCATGCGACCATTCGTTCCCATTTTTCTGGAAACGGAAAAATGTATTTCCCTGGGACTAAACCTGCCTGCGGTTTTTCATTCGCGGTAATTCTTGCGCATGTTCTCGCGCAATTTTCCTTACGCGTTAACACTGGGAAGACAATGCTTCGAAATTAAAGCGTGGTTTCATTACCGCGGCTAGCTGTTTCTGATGATTATTATTCAGGAATAATATTTTTATCACGATAGAAGTGATTTTCCGACGACAGTTCTGAAAGAAAGAATTTGTTACAAAGAGTTGATTTCTTTTACGAAGTTTAATCCGGTATAATGAACGCTAAATAATATAAACAAATAATAAGAATTGAACGAAAGTGGATATCAGTTTTTAAAATTTTACGTAAATTTGATTAGTTTGGGGGAATTAATTAAAATTAAGT